CCTCACAAAGGTATCAGACACTTGATTATTTTATTTTTGTCATTTATCTCTCGTTCTTTGGCATGTATGTCTTAACCATATATATAGGACACACGTTTTTTAGGACATGTCTTTTCATACAAGCAGTATGATATAATCAAAGTTATATAATAATAGGCGCTTAATGACCTGTGGGATGATGAGACAATGAAAATTATTGTGAAATTATGATATAAAGCCAAAATTGAAATAGCTTTGAGAAAAGACAATGTAGGCATAATACTTTTCTTGCATGGCAAAAGTAAGTAAATTCCAGCCAACAGCTTCATACTATAAACCAGGGACTGCACTGATTTACTCTTGAAACAAAGGACTCTTCTGGTAGAGAAGCTAGACGTGTAGTTACCACCTGATTACATTTACCAAAAATAATGTTTTCCAAATCTGCCAATCTTTTGCATACCGTTGAAGTGAAATGGAGTTGTGATAACCACCACCAATTCTGCATCCTTTAAGTGTTTAATAGTGACACTGATTGCAGAAGTTATTCCAAGATAAGGTGTTATTTTTGGCTTTATGAGTTAGTAAATTTCTTCTTTAACTATTCTACATAAGGGTTAACCGTGGTATGTCCACTTGCTGTACAGAGGTAACTTGTGGTTGTTGTGAAGCCGAACACTGTGACACTGATGAGTCAAATGTGATAATGGTTACCCATGGTGGACAGTGTTTGGTGGAGCTTCCTGATTAAAACAAGCTTGGAAGCAGGATAGGCATCTACTTCCACAATAACTTGCCTCCGGAAACCCTATGAACCTGGAGAAAGGATGAAAGTTATCCAGGACTTTCGTTCATAGGGTCGCTATGAGTCACCTGTGATTCGATGGCACTTAACAAAAGTGTTATTCTAGGTGGCCAATGCAGAGATTCTACCAGATCCATTATGTATTTATATAACCTATGTAGTTAGAAAATACGTATCTTGGGAAAAGTGCAGTCAGGGTGTTCTTTAGAGGGAAAGATGATGAAACTTTCACCTCACATGCTTTGGGCATGTTGTTAGGAGGGGCTATTCCTTGGAGAGGGAAATTATGCTTATAAAGGTGGAGAGTTGGCGAAAGAAAGGAAGACCCTCAACCAGATGAATCGACACAGTGAGTGCTGCAAGGGGGCTTGAACATTCTGGAGATAATGAGGATGGCACAGGACAGGAGAGGGGTCAGATCTGTTCATAGGGTTGCTATGAGTTGTACTCAACTTGATGGCACCTAACAACAACATGTGACTAAAAATTTGGCACAGAACAATGGGAAAGGTTCACCATGAAATTGACTTGGATCTGAGTTGCACACTCATATTATGACAGTTGTTTCCTTTTGTTTAACATTTTCCTATTAGCTGGGGTAATGGGGGTAGATGTATTGGAGTCAGTGAGGAGGGTTCAGAATAGGGCTGGCTTCAGATCTGTTGTGCACAGGATTGCTATGAGTCACAGGAGACTTGACAGCACATGACAACAACAACATTTTGACAACTTCTTGTCAATCTGGTAATTTTTTAAATTTTTGTTTATGTGCAAGATGAAAAGATATTTCTTTAGATATGTGAATTTAACCCATATGTTTGGCTGGATTCCCATCCATTATTTTATGATATGTGTTCTCTATATAATGTTATTTATTAAGGGATCTGTTATGTTGAAATTGAAAGATGAAGATCTGTATTGTAAAGTATATGCACACTTATAATTTTTTTACTCTAGCACTGCTTTTATAGGAAATAAAAAAATACATTAACTAAAAAAAAAATCTACTGAAACTCATTACTGTCAAGTCAGAATCTACTCATGGCTAACCCTCCAGAAGGTTTTCAGGAGCTGGAAATTACATAAGAGGAGATTACACTTTTTTGCTTTATTTTGCTTAGAGATCATTGTTGCTGTTGCTAAACTGTATTTATTTTTAAATGATCTGTAACAAAGAATCAGAAGCAACTTAGCACCCTCTCATCTCCTTTCAGATGGTTTGCGAGCCCTTGGCAATGTAAAATGTGAACAATATACTGAATTAGGAAATTCTTGTAGACAAGAAAGAATAAGTAAGAGAGAGAGAGAAGAGAAGAGAAAGAGAAGAGAAGAGAAGAGAAGAGAGAGAGAGAGAGAGAGAGAGAGAGAGAGAGAGAGGGCAGGAAGGTGAGACGTGTCAATGAGCAAGAAAGAGATTTTTATTGTTTTAAAATGTTGTTGTTATGTGCCGTCGAGTCGTTTCCGACTCATAGCGACCCTATGTACAACAGCCCTAAACCCTGCTCTATCCTGTGCCAATCGCACTGCCTCTGACACACCCATCCCGATTACCCCAGTCACCGAATCAATCCACCTCATAGAGGGTCTTCCCCTCCTGCGCTGTCCCTCCACCCTCCCAAGCATGATGTCCCTTTCCAAGGACCCGTCCCTCCTGGCAACATGCCCAAAGTATGTCAGACGAAACCCCAGAATCCTTGCCTCCAAGGAGCAGCCTGGTTTAACCCTCTCTAGGATGAATCTATTTGTTTTCTTGGCAGTCCATGGTACATTCAGTACTCTTCTCCAGCACCACAGCTCAAAGGCATCAATTCTCTTTCTACCCTCCCTAGTCATTGTCCAACTCTCTGATGCATAACAAGTGATTGCAAAGACCATGGCCTGTATCAGGCACACCTTAGTCTCCAGAGAGTCACAGACAAACAAAAAGTTTTAAAATGAGATTATCAATTAAAATGTAACAAATATTTCAGTTATTTGTTGATCCCTGTTCCCTGGCACAAATAACACACATATTTATATCAACTAGTATCTTTGATTTAAATAACACTTTTCTATTTTAAAAATAATTATTGTCAAACTTCATAATTTTGTTTTTTTTCTAAAATTATGTTTTACAGATTATCTTATGGTTATCTTTAAAATAATGAAATTACAGGCATAAATCAAGTTTAATAAGCCCATCTCCCACCAGTAATAAAAACAAAGTAAGAATGGAGATGCCTATATAATTAAGATATTGAGGTGTACCACGCACATAGCAAAAACAGGGAAGGGCCTGTCTTTATCAGAGTTGTGGTTTTCATCTAGGAAAAGTTTGACAAGACTAAGTCATGTGAAGCAAATACACTCAAGAGTTTTTACTAACCTGTGCAATTAGCACAAATATTGCCTGCTTGAGGCAACTGAGACAGCAATGCAAATAGGTCAATCAATGGGATCTTCTCTTAAACTTACACTGTAAACAAGAAACAGTAAAGGTGTGTTTTTTTGTTTTAAGACTTTTATTGTTATATGAGTGAAAGTTTACAGAGCAGGCTGGTATTCAGATCGATGTTCCATTCAATCTACATAAACTTTTGTTTTAGGACACGGATCATCATCTCTACACGGTAAAAGCACTCTTCCCACTTCTTCCTTCTTGATCTTGTTTCCATTCATCTTTCTGTCCTGTCCCTTCCTGCCTTCTGAGCTTTATCCCTGGGCAAATGCTCTTCGTTTAATGAAATACAGTGGAATGTTCTAAGGACTGAGTACCTCCCTGCCGCTATTGTGCACCCTGTCTATTTCACAGGGTGAGTTGACATCCAGGATCAAAGGGTGGCTAAAGGTCATAGTCTTGGGCTTCCACCATTCTCCATCAGACTAGTATGCTTGGTCAGCTTTAAGATTCTGAAATCTGTTCCACATTTATCTATCATTCCATTGCGGATCCTCTTTCAGAGTAGTCAGGAATGGTAGCCAGGTACCAGCTAATACTCCTATTCTTAGGGTTGTGGAGTTAGAGAGTTATCAATAATAAACCCCTTGATTGTTTCCATGCACCTCTGATTTTCCTCACTCCTCTTGCTCTAGACAGGAAAAGGCCAATAGTAGTAGTGCCATAAATGCCCCCTCACAAGCTTTCAAGACCCCAGCCTCTTCCAAAATGGAACATGATCTTTTTAAGGTATATTACATCAATTGACCTCGATGCCTTGTGAGACTATTATCCTGACATTCCCTGACCAGTGACTTATTCTTTCAGAGTATTTGTTTATTGTTAAGAAATTTACCATATATAAATTTGCTTCTTGCTGGCTCTACTGTGTACATAGATATATTTGCAGTACAAATAAATATGTAGGTATAAATATCATCTGTCAAATCTATGTACAGTCATAGATCTTTTTGGCTTGCCCATATCTGTTCATCTTACCTGTCTGTCCATGTATCCACTAACAGATTATCGTTTGTTATTACTGATAACATGTATACAGGACTATGTATATATGATACTTGTTTACCTTTATTATCTATAGCTCATGTGCATTCTTCTGCGTTTTTAATGATATTCTGCTAATCACATATTAATAGCGTTTTCCCTCACCCAACTTAATGTGTCTATTATATAATTATTGATATTCCTTTCCCTTCCCCTCTTATTCCTGTACCATCAAGTTTCTCTCTCTCTCTCTCTCTCTCTCTCTCTGTGTGTGTGTGTGTGTGTGTATAACTTCCCCTTAACTTTTTAGAATAGTGGGCCCATACATCATTTGTCTATGAAAGTCATCTTTAAGATTGAGTAACGTTAATACCTTGTTCTACATCTTCCCTTTTGACCTTAATGGACTTCTGAACAAGAAACACAGTAAAACTTTATTCTTCCTGGATTAAATGGAGTTGCAATAGCAAAAAGGAAAATCTAAAGATTTTAGTTTTAAAAATCTGAGAAGAAAAAACAAAAATGAGAAAGATTGAAAAATTATAGCCAATAATGAATTTGGAAAATATTCTTTAAAGTACAATAATAACAAGTGATTTTGGAAACAATTGACATAAGCAAATATATTTTTTCCATATATATACATATTCATATCCTTTCCCCTGGGGTATAGGCAGAGAGGTGGAGGCTGAAGCTACTGTTTTCTTGGAAGCTTCTCTCCAGCACTGCCAATGCCCAGGGGTTACCAAGTCTTCACCGGTGACTCAGCCCAGGCCTTCCATTTTCACTGCCGTCTCATTCCAATTTAGGCTTCTCTTTCTCTTCTTCCATACCTAGAAACACAGGCAAAGTGCTTTATTTGAACATCAGGTTAAGCTCTGGGTGGGTTAAAGTTGAAACTCCTTTAAAAAGAAAAGCTCATCTGCCCTTCGGCACCCACTCCTTTCTTTTCCCCACAGCGGAGCAGGAAAGTCATTTATCACTTTCCACAGAACCTTCCCCGTGGCCTCCCTCCCCACCCCTTCCCAGAATTGGATCACAGCATCTTTGGGACACACCCGGCTCCTATCACTTTTGGGAGTGAGTGACTCATGTTCATTCTTGACTCTCTGCGTTTACACAGAAACACCAATGAGTCTGTCTTTGAACCAGCTTCTAGTAACAGGGACTGTGAAGCTGACAGGCTTTAAACCGACCTCATGATTCTAATTTACTCGCTCTTCACAGCACAAGGTCTTGGGATTTTTTTAGTCTTTCATTTTCAAGCTCATAGAGAGGCTGTTAGCCACAATTATTTATTTTCACACCTTTTATACTCAAATTCTGCCTTTCTTTTGACTGGATGCTGGCAGAACCACGTTCTTCTTCCTGACTGATATACTGGGAGGCATAGGACAGGCAGACCACTGCCTGTTATCAGGGGCGCAGTCAGTGAGGTTCCAGAGGCAAACGGTCAAGTCATTCTCATGAATTAAAATGGCATCTGTTAAATGTTTCCCACTTCTTTTATTTGTTTTTGAGAAAAACATGTTTCTTTTAATAACAAGCATCTCAGAAGCATTTTGCTTGTTTGTTTTAATACCAGTGATAGAACAGAAGAGCCCAAACGATTGACCGTATTATTTTAAAAGTTGCATCCGCTCTAATGGCAGGACTATTCACTGATTGTGCTCCAGAATGTACTGTTAGAATCTAAAGGGAGTATCTAGCAGAGTTACTGTGATGCAATCTTTAGGGATTTGCACTGTGAATCCAATGGTGGCATCTCTGATGGTTCAAATCCACCACCTTCTCTGAGGGAAAAGGCCAGCAAGTCTTCCATGCAATTTACAGCCTCTTGAAAAGCTGCTGGTGGGTCAGCTCTGAGCTGGTTTTGACTTGATGGCAAAGCATAAGTATGCATGTATCTATCTCTGTCTGTCTATCTATCTATCTATCTATCATCTATATCTATCATGTGTCATCTATCAATTTTTCTATTATCTATCATCATCTTCTACCTTTCTATCATCTATTATCTATCTATCTATCTCATATAGGTCATAATAGAGTCCAATTAACCTTTGTTAAATCAGTTAATATGCAGTTAATGTACAGAAGGTTACTGAACACTGGACTAATGGAAAGGCAGAATAAAAGTCAAGACTCTTAAATTATAAACCCCAGTCCTATAGGATCTCAAGAGGCCTCCCCCAGTCCCAGAGCTTGTTTTATGGGGTCAGTGCTGGTGTGGGAGGTGGGTAGCATGCTCTGGGCAGGTGTCCTCAGACAATCTTTTATGTTTAGTTTTTATGGCTAATGAGGTAATGTTCCACTGGCACAAATCTATAACACTTTTTCCAAACACTTCTCAGAAATCATATTAGAGAAAACTTCAAACTGAGAAGGAATGACATCTGAAAGGGAGGAGAGGATTGTGGGGGAGAAGGTAGGAGATGCCTTTGATATGAGGTAACCAAGGCAAAGGCAGGAAAAAAAAACACAGCACAAATTCAATTCAAACAGCACATATGACTTGAGCCCCAACTTCCGTCCCCTGCTCTCTCTCCTGTGGCAACTCGGTCAGCAGCAAACAGCAGCTTTTCTTTTTAAAGCCTGTTTCCGCCAAAGTGTTCTGCCACAGATGGATTGACTTGGCAGTAATGGTAGAATCTTCAAAAGCGAGGGTGGAGGGGAGCGGGTGTTCACTGACCTAGAGAGGGAAAACGGTTCTCCACCTACTTAAGTTTGGCAGTTCTGAGGTAGAAGGAAAAAATTAGGCAGTTGTAAATAATGTTTGGAGGAACCAGAAGTATAATTTCCACAGAAGAGTAGAGAGAAACTTGTCACAGGGCTGAGGTAGGATGCCCTTGGGGATGTAGGCAAAGTGAGCCGGTCACAGAAACTTCTCGTGGGCTGGAGAGTGGCTGGACCAGGGTGCAGGGAGGGGACACTATAAGACCTGAAGGGCCTGTGTGGGCCGTGAGCTGATTATAACTCAAAAACTCCCCACAAAACTCAGCTCATTGCTGCCCAGATGGAACCAACTTAGAGCTCATCCTCCAGCAAGTTTTCAGTCTTTACTGGAGGCGGCTGTATATCTTTCTCCCATAAAGCAGCTGGTATATTTGAACAGCTTGCCTTTGCCATGGCAGTGCAACTCCCTACCGACTAGACCAAGAGAGACAGCTAGGAGAGGAGAGATGTGAAGGCTTCTACTCTTAAAGGCCCAATTTTGCCCTCTCTTCCCTCTACTCTTGCCAACTTCTACCGTAACACCAATGTTTACCGTTAGAAAACTCTCCTTTCTAGTCTTGTAATGGTCAACCGACGATATACTACCATTGATTACCTCAGATTTATTGAGATTAGAATACAGGGAGACTTTTCTTACCTTAAGTACAGAAAGAGTTCATTACACCAAACCAGTATGTTTGAAGATATTTTAAGGGCTGCGCATTCATATTTTGCGTCTGGCTGAGCCACTTCATAGTTTTACAAAGTAGCTCCATGGTTCTGAGAGAAATTTCTGAGCTCCTTGCATGGTGATCTTCTGATAGTTCACTAGAACAAACACCTGATTGGGTGCTGGTCAGATTTTTACTTTGTCACCATCAAATCTGCTGGCACTTTAGATTTGTCAGCCTCAGCTGCCTCTCGGTAAAAGGTTTTGATGTTTTGAATAGCCTCCACAGCTCCAAGATTCTCTAAAGATGTGATTTTTGTCTTGAAACTTGTAACATGACAAGTAGATGAAGCAAGTCATCATATAGATACAAAGAAGTGGCTCACATGTGGGTCTTCCTTCTCGAGAGATTTTGGGCTACAATAAATGTTGACAAATCCAGGATTTTAATGCTGCGTGAAATTCTGAATTCTTTCATGCCCACAACTTTTTCAATCTATATGCAGAACAGATTATCTCGGAAGCTAGGTTCTAGGAGGAGAAATGTGGCAGCAGGATTGGAGGAAGACTCATCCACAACCTGCGTTATGCGGATGACATACCCTGCTTGCTAAAACTGAGGAGGACCTGAAGTGCTTGCTGCAGAAGCTCAAGGACTGCAGCCTTCAAAATGGATTGAGGCTCAATATCAAGAAAACAAAGATTCTCACCACTGAGCTGACTGGCAGCATTATGATAGATGGTGAAGAGATTGAGATTGTTAACAGCTTTCGTTTGCTTGGCTCTGCGATTAACACTCTTGGTACCAGTAGCCAGGGAATTAAAAGATGAATTGTACTGGGAAAGTCAGCTGTCAGAGACCTCTCCAAAGTACTGAAGAGCAATGGTGTCAGTCTGGAGACTAAGGTGTGCCTCATTCAGGTCATAGTCTTTGCCATTACTTGCTATTCATCAGAAAGCTGGATAATGACTAGAGATGATAGAAGGAGAATTGATGCCTTTGAGCTGTGGTGCTGGAGAAGAGTATTGACTATACCATGGACTGCTAGGAGAACAAACAGGTTCATCCTAGAGAGGGTGAGACCAGGCTGCTCCTTGAAGGCAAGGATTGTGAAGCTTTATCTGACATACTTTGGACATGTTGCAAGGAGGGACCAGTCCTTGGAGAGGGACATCATGCTTGGGAGTATAGAGGGACAACACAAAAAAGAAAGACCCTGGATTAGAGGTATTGATTCAGTGACTGGGGTAATGGAGGTAGGTGTGTCAGAGACAGTAAGATTGGCACAGGCTAGAGCAGGGTTTAGAACTGTTGTACAAAGGGTCGCTATGAGTCACTGGTGACTCAATGACACAGAACACCACCACATACATACCAATGACACTCAATACACACTAGTTTTAATCAACATTTAACTGCAAACAGATCCAGCTGGCTAATGGATCTGTCTAACGTGGTCAAGTGATAACGGGGAAATTAGCATCTAAGGGGGGACAAAGGGATACTCAATTCCAATCCAGTGTTGCCAGGAGAGTACAGTCATCTAGGAGTTGTCAGACCTCAATACACTTGACAACTCAAACCAAACACCAAACCGGACTTACTGTTGAGTAATTCTGACTCATAGTAATGGCGCTCCATAAGGTTTCCAAGGCGATAGATTTTTTATGGGATGATGAGGGCTTTAAACTTGTGATCTGTTAAGTGCTGTCCTGAAGGAACCACCTCTTAGCTGACCCTCCAACAGGTTTTCAGAGGCTGTAAACAGCATGGGAGGAGACAGTCCATTTTCTCCCAAGGAGCAGTCGGTGGATCTGAATCACGTGCCTTTGGGTTGGCAGTACAATTACCACTAAGCCGTCAGAACTTTCAGTTAACATCCCAAAATGTAACTTAACACCATGGCAGTTCCTCAAAATGCTTGATAAGCCAGGAGCCTTCTGTGAAATCTTTGTATTTTTAAAGATTGATTTTTAAATGAAAATAATATGATTGAGGCTGAGGAAAGTTCCCAAGCAGCCAAAATTTTTGGGAGACCATGAGTTTGTAACCTCTGATGAAAGTGAAAATAATGCTTGCTTAATGTAAACTATGAGCCACTGTGAAATTAACTGGATGGTCCCACATAAATCAAATTAATGTCTGTACTTAAAATGAAGTACCAAGTGCTAGTCAAGGACTGCAGCCTTCAAGATGGATTGAGGTTCAATATCAAGAAAACAAAGATTCTCACCACTGGGCCAATTGGCAGCATCAGGATGGATGGTGAAGAGATTGAGATTGTTCACAGAGTTAATTTGCTTGGCTCCACAGTCAACACTCTTGGCACCAGCAGCCAGGAAATTAAAAGATGTATTGCGATGGGAAAGTCTGCTGTTAGGGACCTCATCAAAGTACTGAAGAGCAATGGTGTCTCTCTGGAGACTAAGGTGTGTCTGATACAGGCA